TACCTCTAAGATTGCTATGCACCCTTTGAGGTATCTCTGGCTACCCTTTTTAAAGGTGATTATTGATTCAATCAATCTCGAATGGACATATTCAGCCCAATTGAATTCACCCTTCAAGCCTTCATCGCAAATGAGCTTCATATAGTCCTTGTTCGTTGACGTATCACCCGTTGGACAAAGAAAGATCCCGACAAGGTACAATAGAACTAGGGCCTTCAGGTCATAAGATCTACTTTTGATTTTCTCTTCAAGTTCAGCATATATCACCTTCTGCTTCAAACCATATTTGAAGGAAAATGCTTTCCAGTTCTTACTCTTAGAGACTTCTACAACACTTTTGCCTTCATTTCCTACCCCCCAAGACGGCTGCAGCACATGGGATCCCCAGAGGAAATGAAAAATCACCATATTTAGCAATACATCGTTCGACATCAAATTGCGCCATCAAGGATCGACACAATTCCCTCCAAATAGGTCGATCCCTTATTTCTACCAATAATCCAAACCCCATTTCTCCCAACACATTCAACTGACCCTTCTCCTTAAGGTGTTTAATTAATGAATTCACCCTTTTAATGTTGCACCTTGTTGACACTTCCTACATTTTTTAACAATATATAATGTTATAGTTCTTATATATTTTGTATCAACGTATTTACAAGTTTAATGAATACCTTCTTTTCATGTGCTTTCCTCCATTCTTTGTATTCTTCACTATCCATCTTTGACTGTGCGATGTAAGGTTCCTTATCAGCATCACTCATCGAATTTCATTTCTCCAACACATCATTTCTCACCTAATATTAAGCATAAATGTTTCTTAATCAATATATTAACGCTAAATAATACTCAATGTCAATTTCAATTTACATACCGAACCGATGTGTTCGCCACCTTCCTTCATCCTTTGGCATTCGGTCATACTGTCAACATTTAAAATTTGTAATCAATTTAAAGTTCTTAAATACTTTAATCCAATTACCATGTTAACAATAATAACAAAAAGACATTGATACTTACTAGAAGTACATATATCCCCCCTTTGGTTGCTTTCGAGTCTCTGCCTCAATTTCAAAGTCATCTGTGCCACCAACAATTTTTCCACCCATTGACTCCATTTTTCCTTCATATATTAGTTTACGCAAATCAAATCAAATACTTGTTACATACACTTGATTTAATATACAAATATAGATAACTACTCTTGTGGTAAAACGGTTTTCTTCAAAAGAATTTGAATGGCCACTACAAAATGTGTCGACACATTTATACAACCTAAAATATAATTTTCTACCTATAATATTATATACTGGTATCAATATTTATTTTGTACCTATAATATTATATAATCGGTCCCAAATCCTTCTTGGCTTCGATTATAAATCTCCAAACCAAACACAAAAACCCTAATCCCTATTTTCTTCAAACGAATGGGAACACTCAATACTCCAAGTATCGACACATTTATACAACCTATAATATCATTTTCTACCTATAATATTTAATAAAAGTATCAATATTTATATTTTACCTAGAATATCACTTTCAACTTGTAATCGGTCCCAAATGCTTCTTTACTCCAAAATCCCAAATAATACATAAAAACCCTATTTCCGATTACTGTAATAATAAAAACTAGGGTTTTGACAACGTACTTTTCGATTCGACTGCAACAACAAACAAACAAACTTCGCTTTAGAAACGCTTTCTGAAATGCAGCAACAATTACGCTTCGATTTCAAAAACTCGTCCGTTCTATCTATTTTTCAGAGGATATTTAACTATGCCCTTTATATTTTCACCGGATATGTTATTTATATTTAATCGATACAACTACAAAAGTGTCGATACTTTTATGTTAGGTGTCGATACTTTCGATAGTATAATTACCTATTTCTTTGAAAGTATCGATAATTTATTACGCGTACTTATTAAAGTATTGACACTTTCAATATATCCGGTAGCGTTTTACCGGTTTTGTCATTTTGAGACCGGTTTTGTCATATTTTTACCTGTTATATTGTTGTGGACTGATACATTGTTATAAAGTATCGACACTTTATAGGAGCTAAAACTGCTTCTCTTTTAAATTCACAAAGTCTCAATACTTATATTAATGTATCGACACTTTAAATATATCCAGTCGCTCTATACCGGTTTTGTCATATTTTTACCTGTTATATCGTTTTGGATCGATACATTGTTATAAAGTATCGTCACTTTATGGGCGCTAAAACTATTTCTCTTTTAAATTCACAAAGTGTCGATACTTATATTAAAGTATCGACACTTTCAATATATTCGGTCGCTCTATACCGGTTTTGTCATATTTTTAACTGTTATATCGTTGTGGATCGATAAATTGTTATAAAGTATCGACACTTTATAGGCGCTAAAACTGCTTCTCTTTTAAATTCACAAAATGTCGATACTTGTATTAAAGTATCGACACTTTCAATATATCCGATCGGTCTATACGGGTTTTGTCCTTTAGAGACCGGTTTAGTCATATTTGTACATATTATATCGTTTTGGATCGATACATTGTTATAAAGTATCGACACTTTATAGACTCTAAAACTGATTCTCTTTTAATTTCACAAAGTGTCGATACTTATATTAAAGTATCGACACTTTCAATATATTCGGTACCGCTTTATTGGTTTTGTCTTTTCGAGACTGATTTTGTCATATTTTTACCTGTTATATTGATGTGGATCGATACAGTTTTATAAAGTATCGACATAAACCGACAAGCTAAGTTTGTCGGTTGCCAAATTGTTTAATATTTCTTCATGATTTAGACATACTACATTATTATTACTCAATATTTCTAGTAGCGCTAAACCGAATTTATTAAATATCTTTTAATGTATCCGATAACATCGTATATTAGCTGTATATTAGCCTGCCTTTCCTGAGACAATCCCAGAGAAGACGCCTCCTCCTACATAAAGCACTTTTGCCTTACCTGATAAAAATGAGTGATGGATTGAGAATTACTTTTTTTTTACTAATTTAAGATTATTATAAGTGTAATATATGTTTTAAATACTCTCAATCGTTTGACTGTGTACGTTCAAACATTTTGTTTGATGTGACATATTTAAATAAAAAATCAAAACATTAAGAGTTACAATGTTTAAAAAAATAAAATAACTATTTTTATTAGACAATAAACACTCAAACAGCCTTACATACGTTATCTTCAAACTCGAAATTTCTAGAGATGATAATTACCCCTTAAATATTGAAGCACTTAGTTAGTGTTAAAATAACTATTTAAATAATAATTCAAGATTATATATATATATATATATATATTGGTGAGAAAATCAAAGGCTGAAATTAATTCATTATTTTTTTAATTAATATTTTGTTGTTTCCTATTGTTAACTCTTCATCAAAATATTTTAAAAAGGTGTAAATTTTTTTTGTTTTAAATTAGATCTTAGTATATATATATATATATATAAGTTAGAATATACTTACACAATGTAAAATATTTTAATTTTCCACATATTTAAAACAATTGAATTAATAAAAACAGATAACACAAATTAATTCTTTACTTTTTTAGTAAATATCTTCATATATCTTAATGTTAATATAAAACATCTATTTTTAATTATCTAATTATCTTAAATCAATGTATATTATTAAAGAGGATCCTGTCCTCTCTCTGTCTCTATATATATATATATATATATTAAAGCCGACAGCTTTATCGACTGATCCCTGAAGCAACAACTTTCCAAAACATAAAGATTGAACGGATTGGGGATTGGGGATTGATTCTTCCCAAAAATAAATTTAAAGATTGAACGGATTGGGGATTGGGTTAGAGCCGAAAGCTTTATCGATTGAACCCTGAAACAAACAACTTTCCAAAACTTGTGGCAAAAAATGCAGCTGCTCCAGTAAGCTGAATCATTATTAGTTGGAGATCCCAAGTTACTTGTAAGAATATATAATACTAACGAGACATATGTCTCCGCTCATCTTCCAATCCAACGGTCACGGATCAAAACAACAAGGCTTGAGATTCAAACGAAAATCTCAAATAATACTCAACTCCAACGCTGATTACTAGAGCTGTGCAACGAAACCGAGAAAATCGAAAAACTGATACGAATCGAGTAAAACGGTTCGATTCGGTTTGACTTTAAACGGTTCGGTTTTCGATTCGATTTAAATGCTTCATTTTTTTGATTTGGTTCGGTTCGGGTTTTCCATATGGAACTCATTTGTTCCATATTGATCCGAATAGGCAATTTTTGTAAAAAAAAATTATAGTTTCAAGTGATTTTTTTATTGAAAAACCGATAAACCGAACCGAACCGAACCGAAAAACTCGAACTGTTAAAAAAACCAAACCGAACCGAAAAAACCGATTTCGATTTTTTCGATTTTTTAACTATTCGGTTTCGGTTTAAATATTGAAAATCTGTTTATTTCGATTCGGTTCAATTTTTAGTAAAAAAACGAACCGAACCGAACCGAATACACCCTACTGATTACGTGTCTAAACGCCACGTGGAAGATGATTCTATAAGTATAGTACTATTTGAGGTACTGATTTCTATGAACCGCAACTTAAAAGCCTTTTGTGCAGAGAGAGGGAGATCGCTAGTGTTGGGAAAGATGAAATTTTTGTTCCAAGGCCAACATTGAGAAGCATAAAGATGTAGGGTTTTCTTGTTTTCTCAAGGATTTTTCCTTTAACAGACCTGAATTATGCTTATTCCCTGCAAAAGATGTTAGAATCCGGTTCCTGCATCTGTTCTCTCTACAACACATGCGTCTTCAGCCGGTTCTTTCATCTTCTTCTCCTTCACCAGACCCACTGGCATGTACCCTTTATACCTGTTTTGTTTTCCTTATCATTTCTTGAAATTCATAGTTTTTTTTAATGTTTTTCTTTTTCTGGTTCTCAATTGGTTTTGCTTTCTGGAAACTGCAATTCTTACTGTTTACTCTTCGGGGATCGTAATTTAGACTGTCTAGTTCTTAAGGAATTATGAAGAATCTAATAATCATATGGTCTCTTTTACGAATGGTAAATTTACTTTATGTAGGTGGACTTGAAGAATATTGAAACTCAACCTGAACAAGAAAGTAAGATCTTTTAGCCCTTTTAACTATTTGTCTTTCTTTCTCTGAATTCTGAGTCTCATCCCAAATCCTCTGATGCACAATTCCATCAAAGACAGTTAAGGTCAAATTACAGTTGAAGAAAGAGTGTTCCTTTGGAGAGCATTTTTCATAGTAGGGGATCATCCTTTGTTAGGGTTATGGGATCCTGAAAGTGCTCTAGCATTGAATTGGTCAGAAGGACATTTTTGGACAGCAGAGCTGGTAAGGAGGAATTTTATGCAGAATGTTAATTGTTTTTCTTCTGAAACTTGTAAAGGCTATGTATTTGATGGGATTTGTTATATTGAAATTGCACAGGACATACCTGTTGGAGTATCTGTCCAGTTCAAGTTCTTTCTGAAAACACGCTCCGGTTACCTTTATGGCAACCGGATCCTGATTGGATTTTTAATCCCGTGAAACTGTGAATACCATTGTCGTTTGTGAAGACTGGGAAAAAGCTGAAAAACAGAAAGTCATAGAGGAAGAGCAGATAGTTAATGAAGATGAACCACTTCTTGATTCTGAGATGGCAAATGTTGTAGAAAACTTGACACCTCCAGAGGAAGATCTAATCCCCGAGGAAAATCCCGCCTCTCCTGGAAAGGAGCAATTATAAGCATTATCCGAGGAATCAGTCACCAGCAATGGTGATACTTCACTAGAGAAGCCCTTGCCTATCGTTGCAGAGAATATTAGTTACCGAACAGAAGACTTTATAGCAAATGCAGATAATGGAGTGCTCGGTTTGAGTAAAACGAACTACCCCTATGATGAGGCTTTGGATGTTTCAAATATGAATGCTTTGATAGCAGAAGATCTTGGAGATAACGACAGCGTAGGAACAGCGGTTACCAAAGGAAATTTGGTAGCATATGAAGGTAATCCTGTCCTAGTGCCTGGCTTGAGTCCAGTAGAAACAATGTCAGCTGAAGAATCAAAGGCGAGTGAAGATGTCAAAAATAGTACAACCGATGCACTGATTGGAGTTAATGAAGCTTTAAATCACAGATCGTTCGAGGTAATTGCCTCACGAGTGTATTGCTCTACCCTTTCTTTTCTTCTTTGACATCTTTTCTATTCCTATTAAGAATTTCATGCTACTTCAATATCATTATCTGGTTACAGCTACATCATCTTGAGACGATGTGTGATTTTTCCCTTGCAAAATTTGCCATGGTTGTTGCAATTGCAGCTAATATTTTCGTGTCTTTCCCTTTTCTATTGTATTTTAATGTCCAATGTGACAATATTCAGCCAGAAGAAAAGCAAGAATCCGAAGGTACACCACAGGAAGAAGAAACAACTGCAGCAATCAAGGAAGATGAGGAACAGATCAACCAACATATTCAGGAGCCTGTAGAAACGAAAGATCACAAACATCTCAACCAACAAATCCAGGAGCCCCTAGTAGCCAAAGAAGAGCAGCAGCTCAACCAATATTCAGGATCCCCTAGCAGCCGAAGAAGAACAACCCGATCCGGAGTCTTTTCAAAGCAACTTGTTGCAGAGTGATGTCTAATGGGGTGGAAACGCATTGCAGAAGCTTCTCAATGGTTTAAGATTTCTAATATTGCTCATTTACTCTATAAACTAGATCTTTATATAGTCTTTTAAGCAGAATGCTCATTGCTGTGCTTCATTTCTGTTAAATGAGAGGGTTAGGCTACTGTTACTGCATTAGTACTGTTAGTATGTACATGCAAACATTGCTTCCTTTTATTCTGTTAGGTTCTTGTGTACTGCTTCATGTCTATTCGTTTATGGTATGTTCTGGCATTAATAATAGCAGGAGTTAACAATATTCTACTTTTATCATTCCTTTAGGTAGGAAGCACTTTGTTTTGTCTTCTGTGTATATTTGAGGAAGACAGTACTGGGATTCAAGAGAAGAAAATGTGGTGGTTTTATGTAAGAGATGTACTCAATGGTTGATCAAAGATATTCTCTCTTTATAATCTTACAATGATAGTTCATAATTTACTATCTTACAAAGATAGTATATGTTGATAAATTTACTTTGTCACTATCATAGCGTATACATTTTGCAGATGCAACTACTCGAATTTAGGACCTCAAGAGAGAATGGAACTCTTTTTAACCACTGGCCACTCAATTGGTGCAATTCATGTATTAATTATTTCAAGGGTAATCACTCAAGTGCCATTTATAATATTTAATAGTAAGAATTGCATAAAGATTCATAAGAAACCAATGAAACAAAATGGACTTTGGAAGAATGGTATCATTCTTGTATCATTTGCAGAGGATCTCTAACAGAATTTTACCACATTAAGAGGCCAGAGTTCATATGAGGTGAAGAGAATGTACAATTAAACATTTGGTAATATTAGAATCAACTGAAGGACAAAGCAATCAAGCATTATCGGCATCACTGCCACTAACCAGAGCTTCATGGCTCACCAGTAGTTGCTTCCATCAGGACCCAACACCTTAAACCTGCCCCACAGTTCAAAAAGAAAACAATACATTTGAGAACTTGTAGCTATTATTATATGCAGGGGTTTAAATAACGGTTGCAGCCGCATTTTTAGTTGCGTTACGTTTGTCACGAATGCGGACACAACAAGTGTTATTGCAGGTATCGCAGTTATGCAATAACAGTTTCGGACAATACCGATATCGCTATATAACGAAGTGATATTTAAATCCCTGATTATATGCAAGCAGAAGAGAGAGTGAAGATTGGACCTCTCAAGAATGAATTTTCCCTCCTTGTACTTCTGAGTCTTTTCATGTGCAGACTCCTAGAATCAAATCACTCACAATTCACAACATTAGGAAAACGGAAAGATGCTCTACTGAATTTAACTCATGGAACTAAGCCTCGAAAGAAATCAAACCAGCAAAAACTCCAAAAATTGCAAAACTATTTCTTACGTATTTCCATCCCACAATTGAGCCACACCCCACACAGAATATATCAACAACGGTGTGCATCCCAGTCATCATCATTCGGTCTTCTTTCTCTCCTACTGAGATATTCACACTGTTATGGATTAACAAACAAAATAAGTAAATTCAAGCATTCATATATGCAGAATGCATATAAGCAATGAGGGCCATGATAGAAAACGGAATGACCAATATATTGATTCTTGGCTATCTGTCTATACATGTCTAGAACCAGGTAGCAGCTGACAGGTTCAAATTGTTTACCTTTTAGGGGACCGTTGGTTCACATAATATTACATTAACTCTGATAATAAAATTCATGGAATGTAATATTGGTTGACATGAATACTACATTAACTTGCTTAGTTTGTTTGATAGTAATGTAGGATTATCGTGGTTGATTGAAGAATATAAGAATAACTGATAAAATTATTTTCGTTACTTATCTAAATTTGTTAAATATTAATATAATTAGTATCATAATAAAAATATTTAAAAAATACATCAATTATTTGACTTCCTAGTCCTATTACCCTTTGTCAAGGAATTGCATTCAGTCAGTCATTTGCTGTCTTTAATACAAGAATAGAACTTTATTTTTTCCTTTATAATTAATTTCAACATCATATACTTCGAATATTTCAAGTTGTTTTTTAATATAAATTTTCAAAAAACATGTAAGTTTTTTTCTATTATTTCTATTTTATATAATCTTCTTCTATAAAGTTCTAGATAAATAATTTAATATATATTTTTAGTGTTGTAGTCCTATATTATATATGTTATTTTTATATGATATTAATTATAATGGATATTAAATGTAGGGTTAGAATAAAACCTAAGAAATCCAAGATAGCTTGTAAATGACCCCATCAATCATATTTATATAAAAAATAGAATCTGAGTTGAATAAGTGAATATGTTATTATATTAAAGAGTATGATTTGTATGAATAAATAACATTATTTCAGTGATATTTTAGTCCAACTGGATTGGAATTGTGCAATACCTAAAATTTGGTGTCGTTCTTGTAGGAAAAAAACGCTATCTTTTCCATGAATCAAAGACCGTTTGTGAAAATAAACACAATTCCTTATAAATACATTACTTTCACAGATTGCAAAAGAGACAATTATATAGTAATTATCTTAACAAAAACATGAGCAAGCATAAATGTTTATAAGAGAATAATATTTCTAGCCAGCACTATAGAGAGACAAAATTGAGCATGCAACAAGAAACACTTACACCTTATCAAAGAGATAAGCCTTTCCATGCCTGCAATGGAAAGACTGAAACACAAATAAAGGATGAGGTTAGTATGTGCCTGTATTGCAGAAAGATACCTGGTATAATGCAGGGAACAATGAGAACGCATGCCTTACATGAAGAGATAAAATATAAAATCCATCCAGATTCAAGTAAGGAATCAGAGTTGATGAGAATTGGTACAAATCATATGTTTCTATCTAGATTAAAGGATGCGGTAATTCTAAATGTGTATCCAAAATTTAACATAATAACCTGATGTAACCTGCTTATTCTACCGCTTCCTTTTGTCTCGATTTGTTTATGCTCGGATTCAAGGACCGAAACAGAATTTTATGTTAAGGGAGGCCAACTTTTATAAAATTTCAGGGGAAAAACAGATTTTTAATAAAAAAAATATATGCCACCCGGTCAATCGCTGCTTGGATTTAGAATGCCCGTAAACAAAATATCAGTCTGGATATTCAACTAACATCCACAATTGCAAAAACCAAAAGGAATCACATTGAATGTTATGGTGCAACATTTTCATCCCCAGGAAAAAACTTCAACATTCAACGACCAAAACTGAAGAGGAATCAGTCTATTGGAGTTAAATCCCTGGTATCATTCAGACGATGGTTCAATCATTTTTTGGTATTTAATTCATCTATCACAATATTTATCAAATTCCCATAACCCAAACAAAACTTCACAAAAGGAACCCAGGATCAAATGTAACCCACAAAACAACGTAGAAAATGAAGACGTGAAAGAAGAAAAAAGAGAGAACCTTAGAAATTATGTCATTGAGGAGAGCCAGATGGGTATGGCAGTGCTTGCAGCTATAAACGCTTCCTTCAAGAGTAATAATAAACACCCTTCCCATTCTTTCTTTAATCAAACTATCAATCTTTCCACTAAACCTTCGCAAAAGAAATCAAATAAAGGGGGGGAAATCAAATCAAAAGTGGAGGAAACAACAGGAGGATCAAGAAAGAAATCAATTAAGGAACAGTAATGGCGGACGTCCAATACATACATATTATATATAGGATTAAACCGAAAATAAGTATCTAAGAATACCATCTTTATTTTCATTTAAGTGTACAAAGTATTTTTTTAAAATAAATATGTAAAATTATTATATTTTATTTAGATGTTTAAAATATTTTTTCAGTCAATATCACGTGTTCCGTTTTGATAATATAATATTGAATAAATTATACATTTAGTATCTAAATTATTACTTTTGTTTTGTTTTATTGCCTAAATTTTATTTTTAAAATTATGTTTAATGTTTAGTTTAGTTTTTATTTTAGTATTTCGCCGTTAAAAATTTAATAGTGTATTGACGCATCACCATAAGATAATATCAAATTATTATTGAAAAAAATTAAAAAATATCACGGTAGCAGTTTTGTAAAATTTTTAACTATGTGATATCAAATTTAAATTTAAATTAAATGTTAGGTATAATTTGAAAAAAATTAAAGTTTAAATACCAACACGAAACAAAAATAATAGTTTGGGTACTAAATGTATAATTTATCCTAAAAATACTGTAGGAACCAAAATAGGAAAATGAGATACTTTACCTGCCTATTTTTGAAATATGTCTATATATATATATATATATAGATATATATATATATATATATATATATAGATATATATATATATATCCACGCATGTAAATTTATTTAGTTTTACATTGATTTGGGACCGTTGGATGAGTGAAATAGATGACTGAGATTGACTCTTTTTTTCCCAGTGAATATCTTCTCATTTCTTACTGTTATTCTGTTAACCGTAAATATCTATTTTCACTCATCCAACTATAATATATCAATCGTTGAATTATAAACAGGTGACAAAATGCATTAATCTCGGAGGGGTCTTGAAAATTAAAATACTTTCAAAAGTTAAGTAATATATGTTAATATTGAAGTGCTATTGATTGTCATGGGTTGCATATAGTCTAGACCAAGTTTTTCCAAGCATGTTTGGCATAAAAACTTCGCTGTGTAATGCATAGATATCAATACCTAAACATGAGGTATTCATGACATACGTCAAACTGAATATTTAAATGATTATTTAGTATTAGTACTATACATGTGGTATCATATTCGAAGAATTCAATCCTAGTCCCTAAATAGGTATATGTTAATCATATATTTGGTACAACAATTTAATGGTAAAATGTTTTTGGATTTGATTGAATTTGTTCAAAGTTTTCAAAAATAATTCAAAGGTCCACAAAAACTATAATTTGAACACAAAACAATTTATGGGTAAGTAGCACGATATTGTTCTAATAGTATCGATACTGCATGAGCAATAACGATATTGTTCTAATAGTATCGATATTGCATGAACAATACGATATTGTTCTTGCAGTACCGATACCAAATGTAAGAGAAATATCGATACTCTAATTGTAGTATCAATACTATTAAATTGAACACAAAACAATTTTTTGGGTAAGTAGTACCAATTGTTTCTAATAGTATCGATATTGCGTGAACAATACCTATTATTTTCCAAGTGTTCAAATTCTAGTATGCAAAATGGTATTGATGGAGTAGCAATACTACTTTACACAATAATATAAATACCATGAAATCCTAATATCGATATTGGTCAAGCCCAACAATCACTACGGTTAGTTTATTTAAATATTATAAAGGAAGTATCGATACTCCCTTAGGCAATATTGATACTCCATGTACTAAGCAATTTTTTTTGTAAAAAATAAGTCTCCAATGGCTCCAAACATCCATTAACAGTTAGAAACAACAACAAACACATTCCTACATATAAAAAGAAGTAAAATGTTTTGAAGAAGGTTACAACATGAATTACAAAACAAAAAAAAAGAAGTAAAAAGATGTCACATGAATTTGTAAAACCTTTCTTATTAGATAACAATAAAAAAAAGTTTGTTTCTTTAAAACTGCTCATTTTTAAACAATAACCACAAACCATTTAATCGCATAAAAACATAATTTCAAGTTTTTAACATTCAAATCAAAGCCATTCTTAAGCATTATGATGCTGAAGATGTAATCCTCGCTAGTAGATGCCAAAATATCTCTACTCCACTCGATATGCTTTACCTACTCGTGAAAATCATCACGTAAGTATACACTTGGTGAGGCATTTTCCAAACTTAAAAGTAAACGTATTAGTATATAAATAATTCATATAACATAGTACATAAAATATCATATAATAAATATGATAATAAAAAAGACTTATATCAAAGTCACATTCTTATAAGTATAACTTGAAAATCAACAGTTGGGATATAAAGCATTTAATGGCAATTCAATGTATTATATAATATTTACTTTCAAACAATCAATTGATTCTTCATTTTTCAATTTCAATCAAACATAGCCAAAGTACATAAATGATAATGCAAGGTATGCAAGTCATTGAGTATGCACAATTTGCATTTTATGCCAGTTACTTGTACAAATACCATCAACATTGTATCAATGTACTAAATAAGGAATATCATGGTACCATAATGATACAATCCTATTTCTTCTCACCTTACTTTTTTTCATTACAACACTTCCATGGTTAAAGGCTGAGGAAGTTTCTTAACCTAATTTACACTTCTCTACATCTTATACTCTACTATTGTTTCATTTATTATGATCACATGCATTTTGATACAATACATGTTAAATTAGTAACCATGTTATGTATTTCATACTTAGAATATTGATAATGCATTATACCATGACCATACATAATCAATAATTATATAGTAGCCCCACATTCTTATACTTAGGTTTAAATATGCATATTACATGATTTACCTTCATTCATATCTTAAACACAATGTTTATAACATATAATAGTTCATGTATATTCATACTTAGCTTATGTTAG